GAGTGACATTTCAACAGTTCAAAATGTAAGTGACGTTTCCGAATTGACGATCTGAATGATAGCGATGTTTCCCAGATGATAGTGGCGATCTCAATGTGTACGTGACATTTCCCTGTTAAAGGTGGCGTTTCTTAAATGAGGGTGACACTCATAAGGTTCAAGCAAGTGGTTTAACGTCTTGGTGATGTCCGGGAATTTAAGGAAATGCTGATTATAGTAAATACAATTTTCGTGCAATGTTCCTACTCCTACTTAATCGCCTTCTCTTTTGGCATAAGCTAAAACAGTCCAAATAGTTAACAACATGATGAAGTGTGTGATGGGATAAACAGTCCAAGTTATTGACAAAAGGCTAATGGTTGATGTGATAAACACAGTTTTGTCATATGGTGAGATACTATTTACAGGTTAAATGCCAGGCTAAAGAGAGTATACACTTGAAAATTGGATTTACCAAAGCGTTGCTAGGCTGAAAACATTCGCTGAAACTCTGCATACGTAAAGTTCAAAGCACAACTACATCACCATCGAATAACAATTTCTTGTTTGTTTCATGTTTAGACACTAGCGTGTATACTTTCTTTTGCCCAGTAGTTAACCTCCGCAACAATCGCCTTATATATGTATATCGTGCACCTATATAAACATACACATAAAAAACGAATTACATTTTTGTTTTTCAAAACGTCTATCCTAAATAATATGGTTATTTTCACTGGATCCTTACAACATTGATGCGATCTTTTTACCCCAACTGGGCTTAATGTGAGACGTCCTCGATCGCTTTTCGTTTGGTGATTATTTCGGTGATTTTACGAGTGCTTACGGAGGGACAGTTTTCGCACTCGGGCAATCTCATTAAGGACCAGTGCTTTGATAGCAAGTTCACATTAGGAGGATGAAGAGTGACATAATTGCTCCTACTGTTAAGGGAGGCTGACAGTAAATGTACAAAACAATAGAGATGGGGATTATCGATTAGCAATCAGTCATGTAGGGATTAATATGTTGCGGGTCTTCCCACTCACTTAACTCGTATTGTTTAGAGTTACAAAACCAGCCAGGCGTGGTAATCACCAAGAACAAAAGGTATGACAAAGTAGACACAATTTATGGATAACAACTTCTTTAATACTGTAAGGGCGACGTTCCGGTATGCATGTAGATCCTTATACCGTTGTCAAGCAAGACTTAATGAGGAACACTGTACAACAACAACAACAACAACAACAACAACAACAAACGTTTATTTTGCTTCAAGGTCATAGCTATGACATATTGAAGGTACAAATGGAGATTTATGGTGACACGAGGCATGAGACAGACGTGCGTCAACTGTACGTTTAACTGCAACAGACCCATACATTTAATTAAACATCTTGAGGATTTCTTTTACAAACTGTGCTAGTTTTCCTTGTTCAAATAAACTTTCAGTATTTAGTAGCATATCAAGTGTTATCGTACTAGGTCTTGTGAAGTTCTTCTTTTGAATATATTGCTTACGCAAGTTATGCAGAAAAGGACATATTATTATGTAGACAGTGTTATTCGTCAGCTAAGTCATGTTTATTACAGTGACTACAAATTCTGTCTTCCCGCGGTATATTTTCCCATCGCCCCTTTTCTATTGGTAATCTATGGTTTGTGGATCTTGTTTTAGTAATCGGGATACTGAGTCTTAAGGGTAGCGACAGCAGATGATTTTCTAACTGGATTTTATGTTTAGTATTCGGTAAAATACTGCCTTGGGAGAGTTGTTTATCCAACTTGTCCAAGTCTGGCTAAACTGATCAAAGATACGTTGTTTAATAACACATTTTAATACGTTTATATTTGGCATGAATTGTTGGGTACAGAATATATATTTATATATACAGTAGGTGGAGTATTTACAGTAACAACAATTGCATACAAGAGTGGGCTAACGTGAGTAAGTAATGACAACAGAAGGATAACAGAGAACACACAGCTGTAAGCCAATGGGAAATGAATCCAAATAAACAGGATAAGTTTGCATAGGTGTGGTGATTATTGTTTAATGAGTATTAAAGAAGTTGTTATCCATAAATCGTGTCTACTTTGTCATCCGGCAACTTCTTAGTAATGCCTATCAAACAACGAAAGGTATCTCCTGTATTTTGCTACCCATGGGGTGTCCACCCACCAAAACAACCCACATGGTTCACGTATATTTCCCCATATATTATACAGTGTATATATTTCAGATGCAATTTAAAGCACATCTGGACATGCGGATCAATACAGTATGATTAGACACATTTAACTGTGTTTTGGGTGTATTTTTAGATACAAGACATATGTAAAATCAAAAAAATATTTCTGAGGGATTCTTTGACGATGAACTTGAAATCATACGCGCATTCTGATTGGTTTGTCGTATTTTCGCACATGACATTCATCGATAGGGGGACGAGTCTTCTTGCAGGTTACGGAAAGGGGCGAGTGGTGACGAATGTCATCCCCCTACGGACGACAGTTAAGTGCAAAAATACGACAAACCAATCAGAATGCGTGTATGACATCAAGTACTTCGATCAAAGAATCCCTCGGGAATAATTTTTGATATTACCCATGTCTTGCATCTAAAAATATACCCATGTACTGTTAAAAGTGTTCAGTCATACTGTAAAATATACAGCAAGTCCCGATGTGTTTTAAACAACATCTGGGATATATATCACACATTTACCTGAATCTTTAAGCAATATCATTTGCGCTTAGACGGAACCCAGTCGCTATTCGGCTTGTCCCGTAATAACACGAGTTGGTCACGAATGATCTACACGTTGTACACGTTAATTAACCTTTTGAATTATATTTTTATTTATCCAAAGGCTGTCAAGAATAGGTTGCTGTAACACACGCTTGTGATACATGTACAAACCGATATAAGTATAGTCACATACATACATACATACATACATACATACATACATACATACATACATACATACATACATACATACATACATACATACATACATACATACATACATACATACATACATACATACATACATACATACATACATACATACATACATACATACATACATACATACATACATACATACATACATACATACATACATACCTACCTATACACAGCGTAACAGTCCACTTGTCAGTGTGTGAATACACACTGATTACATTGTTGTGCTGCAGTGAAAAACAGGGCGTCCTTTTGGTAGCCTGGGAGTACCCAGGATATATATTAAATTAGTCCGCTTGTAAACTAACAGTAGCAACACTTCTAAATCCGCTAAACGATAAACAAACCGTCAAAGCATGAGGCATATTCTTTACTTTAACTGACCTACTAGGCCGCATATAATCACCTACAAAAATGAAACCACCGCTAACCAAAACTAAGAAAACATCAATACAAAAACCACACAACCACACCATCCTTTAGCCCCCCCCCCCCCCCCCTCCCCCTCCCCCACACACACCTATTGCAATCAAATTCCACATTTCTCAAATTTGAAAATAATTAATTAATTTCACCTGATCTGTGACCTGTACACAGGATCACGTGATGTAATCTACCGAGTAATAGTTGCTGATCGTTAAAGTCGTATTCCCATACAGTGAAACCACGAAAATTCGAACTCGATATATCGTTTACAATGAACGGCATAAACATAAGGGACGTCTGTACGTCGTTTATCTCGAACAACGGATAACTCGACAACTATCGGTGATCCCAGAACTTAATTCGGTGATATCTCATAATATTATTAACAAGAACTCTTTTACGTTATGGATCCATCGTGAGCATATGCATGTATTGGGAGGGTGGTGGTGGTGGTGGTGGGGGTGGGGGTGAGGGGTGAGGGGTGAGGTGGGGATGGGGGTTGAACGTTTGTCTGGTCAGGGTGGGGCGTGGGCGCAGGGTAATTGTATGTATTTTGTGTGTAGGTAAATCAATGTTGTGAATGCTTGCTGTGGGGTGGTGGTATGTAACTTTGAGTGTAAACTATATATGTTCGCTTTTATGTATTTTGGTTAGTTCAAGACGTGTTTTAATATATATTTTACTGTTATGTAACTTATTGTATTTTATTGTGTCTCATGGGCTCTTCTGGTCGGACATTTAATACAATTGTACCTCACCAAGACTTAAACTATGCATGTACTAAATGTACAATAATGACACATTAATACAATATTTTTCTCTCTTCTCCTTTATGAATCTGGTTATTTTCAAATACACAGATATTATACACGTTGATGCAATTGATCTGTACATTTTGTTCTGTCTGCAACGAGGCACCCCCGACTTAATCGTAATGGTTATTTTAACCTCTCTCGTAACATGTTTAGACGATACCAATGAAAATAGGGGCATAAAGAAAAAGGTCGGGTATCTAGTGTAAGTTTACTGATTGACTAGAAGAGGCACGCTGTGTTTGAAGCAACGTCTAATGGGTATCAATACCTATCTGAACTTGGCAAGAATCTGTTTATTTTCATTTATTTGACTTCACAGTGAGTGTTAGGCCAAATTATTCCGACATCAGTTACGCCCATTAAACAATTGTATGAAGCTGTCACAAGTTCAGTAGGTCTCAGACCTACTTGAATTGTCTGTAGGCTTCATTCCTCACTGAACACGGCCCATCACGTTTGTGCCCGACATGTCACCCAGCGGTGTTTGTCCAACAGTCTGTATATACAAAGTTAAATATCTGAGACCCGCTCACCAATTAGCATGACGCAGATTGACATTGAATGCCAACGTAATATCCACAAACCAATCTAATAACGACATTGCCCTTGTTAAACGCTAACGATAAAGCTATACAAATATATTCAACTTAGCCGGACAAAAGTGGCTTTCGACGGCTGTGCTTACATGTCGTGTGTGTCTCTAGTCATGTATAGCGCTACAATAAAGGGATCGAGGCCGCCGTGTCTAAATCGGCGTGAACACAGTGTCGAGACCTCTCATTATTTCTACCGAGATAGTACCGATATATGCTGGCACTGGACTCGCGCATGCGCGGAGAGTAAACAGCCGCTGATCACGACATTACCTGGGATTTTCATATGGTAGTTGGTGGGATATTATCATGGCGGCGTCAGGATGTGTGCGACCATGCTTCATCGTATTCAATTTGCTGTTTTGGGTAAGTCTCTTATTCCTGTATGAAATTGTACAACTGTAATTCAATATAGTTTTATTTCCAAGGTTCATGTCAAACGACTTAACAACAAAAACGTTAAAACAATAACTTCAGATCAAATTACACATATCGTGGTGCATCTGAAATGGCACAGTTCTATCGCTTGACATCGTATTGTTCTAATCCCTAGTCCAACGCATGGAATTTGAAATAAATTTTGATAAAACATTTGACAATAAAACATTCCACGTGTGGCATCTGTGATGCGATATTCTGTCGTCGATGGTCACTTTATCGTTGACGATGTGCTGGATGTTGTTGATGATGTCCAGTGGAGACGCTCACCCGACAGGGACATCACATTGCTCATCACGAATGGATTCCTTTTCGTTTCGTTATTTGATCCCTATTGTTCTTACTCATGTATAATTCACAAGAAAGCGACATTTCCACCTTAAATCACCACCACGGAATTGCTGGGATAAAAACTCTCGGGGTCAGAACACTGTACCTTTAGTTATTACCTGTCGCAGTGATTACTTGACATTATCAGTTCAAGAAACACGTAACGGTTAATATGTTTTGCAGCCGACTTTGACAGATGCCGACTTTGATGCCGACATGGACAGACGGGACAATTTGTCACGGGGCTTCAGTGCATTCCCCGGTTAAATCACCATCCTCTGTTGATGATGATGTCTCAACATACTGCTGTGGAATAAGCGCACATCTTGTTCATGACATTGTCCTCCGTACAATGATCTAGATTTGCGTATATGCACCAGTCGTGTGGTCTGAATTTATGTAGGGCTGTTTAAAACTCATACATTATTGATAATGTAACTGAGGTTTGATTTTGACAGGACGAAAGGTCAGTATCATATACAGTAAAGTACGGTTATAACGAACTCAAAGGGACAACTAATTTTAGTTCGTTATAACCGTAGTTCGTTATAAGCATATATACAGCATAACTACAGCAAATAGTCGGGACCAAAAAAGTAAGTTCGTTATATCCGTCAGTTCGTTATAAGCGTATTCGTTATAACCGTAGTTTACTGTACATTTTGACGCGTGTCTACACCAGTGTCAGAAGTCTAAACTCTCTCTCTCTCTCTCTCTCTCTCTGTGTGTCTCTCTCCAATGTGTAGATTAGGATCTTGTTCCATTAATACGTATCCGCCACATCTCGCGAGCCGATCGTTTTAAAGAAACTCGGGAATGTTAAAAGAAAGGGAAAAGTATCAAGTCCTAGAAAATAAAGAACATGGTTTGTACATGGACCATGGGGTAACAATATATGCGCTGACTTGTTTCTCTGACTCAATTATTTACAGACCCCCACAAAACAATATTCACTCATCACAATGGTGAAGGTGAAATAAATCACACTCAGCGGAAATTCGACCACATCGTATACAAAGCTACTGTTCTGCATCACGAGCTTCAAACCGATATATAACTTACTTCCGCATGTTTTGCTCGACGTCAACGATTTAACCACAATACCGATGTGCTTGTCATTGTTGAATGAAGACACGCTGTTGTTTTAGTTTACATGTGCAGAGATACAAATCTGCGTTGAAATAGCTCAATAGAAAACACAGCCGCCTTATCTTCTACCTACGTCTTTCCGGCCAATGACAGCGTGTCACCATAACCGTTAGTCGACCTTAGACAAGGCGTAACGCTTACCCCTGCAACGACAGCAACCTGATCCACGAGTAGGGGGTATACAGGTCATCCGCTGTAATGCAGGATGAAGTTGTTTGGTATATAATACCGAACTCAACATGAAGTATTTGGCACACCTTATATTAAAACCCCTGTGGTGACCATGGCCAGAGCGGAGTTACCCACGCCCTAAACCATCAGGGGAGATTACTCTAAAGACGTCCGACAACTTCAGTTGAAAAAACATTTCTGTGTAATTTATGATTCTAGGATATAATCAGTTATTTCAACACATTTTCAAAAGGAAGTTGAGATATCAAATTGCGTTTAATAGAATTAAATATTCCAATGACCCGTATTCGATTCCCGATATGGGTACAATGTGTGAAGCCCATTTCTTGTGTCCCCCGCCGTGATATTGCCGGAATATTGCTAAAAGCGGCGTAAAACCATACTCGCTCACTCGTATAACATGACGGACTGGTCATGGTTAATATAAATTAAGTAACCATTCGATACCAAGCCTTATTCATATTAAAATGTTGTGTTATGTGATAGTCACGTGAACTAGCGAAACTAGTTTATCCATTTCCAATATTGATTCCTCCCAATGCTGCCCATTCAGTTGAGGCAAGTCGAATGCAAAGTAGACCTGAGACACTTTGTGCCATTCTACTTTGTTTTGGAACACTAGGATAAAGAAGACATATCTATTTCTCGCAGCAGCATAGCAATGTAGTGACAGTTGGGAGTGAGTGTTTGAGGTTTGGGAGAAGGCGTTGGGGTTGGTCAATGCGAAATCAGATGGGAAAAAAACCTTATATGACAAGCAAACAATTTGACCACCAGGATACGCAACCACCAGAAAACACTGATGAGTTAATGTCTTCACGTCACCCAAGTCCACAATACCCACCCGCCCAAAATTCAAATGAATAAATATTTATTTATTCAATTGCATTTTTAATATAATTTCAGCCTATATCATTCAACGTTTGAAACACAACGTGTCAAATATCATCACCCAGTAGTTATCATTTTTTTTTTCACTTCATTTTTACTAAACTAGAAACTGGGTCAGCGAGACTTAAACTGCAGCAACCATCCGAGTTTTGTCTTCATCCTAACCAGAGGCACTGATAGAGACAGCCTGTCAATAATTGATTATATGCCAACATTTGACGATAAGGAATTAATAGGCCAGTCCTATATTACCCCAAGAAACAAGTTTATTGATCTCATAATTTTGCGCGAGGGGTGTGATCCTTTCAGTACGGGATCTTAGTTCACCTTGACCTCAACAATGTGACCTTTGACCTTGAGTCGTCCTCCGACGTTAATCCGGTCATTCACCCACATGGGACGTTATGTCCGTCGGTAAAAATGCAAGTTTATACACATAAAACCATCTTATGTTTTAATCAGTGAACCTTGTTAAACTAAATCGACTTACGTTATAATCAGCGTGCCGTGTTGTAATATGTACTCCGATTTACGTTAACATTTCAGACATTGGCAGCGTGGAGTATTATGTGTGGTGAACTGTTGAGGTTGTGTGATAATCTCAGTGGCTAATTCAGCTTTAATAACGATGTCGCCTCTGTAACCCAGGAATATTTGTTTGGGTATTTCAGAGACGATAACTTTACATCAGTGGAATGTTTAGTTCTTAAACTTCAAATGACATTCACAACAAATAATGTCGTTACTCAAGTCAAGTTTATTTCGTAATTCAAGCCACATGGACCACAGGACAGTTGTAAGATAAATTATATCTAGTGAGTGAGTGAGTTGGGTTTAACGCTGCTTTTAACAGTATTCCAGTTATATCACGGCGTGTCAGCTTAATGTGGGAGGAAAGCCCGAAGTGATGCAGGTCTCAGACGTTTACCACTTCGGTGAAACCCACGAGCACGGGTATGGTGCTGACAAACCTAGAAACATAATCGGGGCGAACCGGGATTCAAACCCACAAGCATAGGTTTCTGGCATGCCCAAGGGACGCAACTCTGCACAGCGAATCGCGGCGCCTTAGACGACTGGGCCACCCGGGCCCCCTAAATTATATCAAAGGTCGATCTCATCATAAATAATTTACATGAATATAAAGCTATCAAGCGTAGTACATTAATATCACAGGAGTTAAATAAATTTGCAAACGTAATATGTACCTAATATTTCTGTAATAAAGTAAAACAATATTTCTCAAGTGTAAACATTTCTTACATACAAAAAGGACATGGTAGTCATCCTCTACTAAATGAAGGTCACATTCTTTACATATAGATTCTGTATGAGGTATATTTAACAATGACCTTTTACGAATAATGTGGACTAGAAATTTGTGAAGAGGTATTCGAAATTTATACATTGCTGGAGTACTGTTATATATAATTCGGATTGCAGAAGAAATTTTATTTAAGAATTGACCTTCACTTTGTGTGAGTTCATTGGAGTATGAACCTTCATAGAGTGAGGGCCAAACGTTTTATTATTTAGTACTTGTGACTTCATGTTTACACTGACAAACAACAACCAGCTATATCGCGGAATACAATAGTCCCCCCCCAAAAGAGGTGTCATGAGTGTATGGATGCAGAACTTGCTCTTCAGAAACATCTTATGCTAAACATGTGTTCATATAATATCCCCATTAGATGAGAAAGGTCTGTAATGAACTACCTCAGTAAGTCAGTCACAATGACAGCGCGTCGTAATACATTTAAATCAAGTACAAGACGTCAAAATGGCCGACACGATAAACGTGACGGGAGGATTTCCGAAGTTGTTAATGAACCTGTGGCGGTTACATGTGTTAGTCATCATTGATAAACTGACCAATTATTGAAAGGTGATTAAAGATGCGTCAAACGGACACCAAGGTAAATTCGTAGATTGCTGGAGACAATCACTGTCAGCCTAGGCACAGATCGAGTCGATACTGACGATAGTTTGGATGTGCATTTTTTCGTTTGTTCATTAGGATGGCCGGTAGCGAGGAAAAAATTGTGAACAATCATGCAGTCAAGCTCTCTTACGTTTCTCAATGTATACTGAGATGCTGAGACCAAGATTAAAGGTTCTAAATGATCAGAAATAATGTTTATGTATGTTTTCGTGCTAGGGAATTCCCAGGGGTTTCCCCAGGAAAGTGGAAGTAGTCCGTCAGTGTTTACGTCATTTCAAGAACACGGTCTCGTGAAAAACGTATGAACGTCAAATTGTGTCGTTCATACACTTATGAACGTCAATTTCGCGGTCATGTGACCGACCTCTCGTCCAATGGAAAAGTCGCATATCGTGTAAACGTCAAATTAAAAAATTATATT